GGTAATGAAACGTTTGCAAGAAAAGAACCAAGCTCAGAGAACCCCAAGGACTCCACATGATATACAGTATTTGAGCATCATAGTCATTAAATTTAATTACTTGTATAAAAGACATTTCAAAGTTTGGTTTTAAATGATTAAGAAAGTGCAAATCTTTTAATAAGGATATATTTTCCATTTTGAATCAGTTAGCTTTTCTTAAAAACAGTATTGCAGGGGCATGCCAGATATAACAAAAGAATCTACTACAATTGTAAATCCATTCTATTTAGGATTGAGATATTAAATAGAGAACAAGTTTAGCAAAAGATAGGAAAAATACTTTTGCAGTGATGGATTTAAATGTTGCACCACATTAAATTTCAGCAAGATCAATGAAAGGATCTAACATTAGATTAAAATCACCGGTCAAAATTACTATTTCCCTAGCCAATTTTGAATTACTAGAAATATATATTGGATCACTCCATCTCTTTGATAAGGAATCTCATCAGGAAGAATAGACTTTTTTGCAAAAAAAGAAACAAACAAACCCACCCCAGGTTTTAAGTTACCCAATTTAAAAGGATCCTTTTCCTCTTAGACACCCATCTAAGGCCTTAAACTATGAAACAATTAAAGATAATATAAATATAAAAACTATATGCATTTTCATGGGTCAAGGAAAATGGAATAAACAGTCTCAGACTGAAACACTTTTAGTGGTTCAAAAAGTTCTCAGAAAAATAGAAAAAAACCCCAATTATTAATATGAAAATAAAGAAACAAACATTTCCAAAGATTAAAAAAAACAGAACTAAAAGAAAACTCTTTTCTTTTGTAGAAACTGTTTTGTAGGATATTGCCTTTGGATAGGCAATATTTTACAAAATAATAGACACTTATCCTTTAGTTAAGGAGATCATCTGCAATTAAAATTATATTCATTCAAATTATTCATTTTTTCTGATCCCCACTTGAGAAGTTAATATATTTGCTCCCAAATCTGGTTTTGATTATTTGATTATGTGTAATCAAGTCAATGTTGAGTCTTAGTGATCACATAGATAGATTTTTTCCAGGACAGTCCCTCCCCATCTGCCATATCTAGCAATAAACAAAAAATTACTGGATAAAGAAAAAAATCTCTTTCCTCACTGAATTCTTATGTTTGTTCATTATCTGAGGAGGCAGATCAGGAAAAATCATAATCTTCATTCTAGTATATTCCAAAGTTGATTGTTGGGAGAACTGCAAAATTCTATTTTGGAATGTTGATTTAAGGAATTTAACTATAATTAGGCCTCAATTTTGAATAATAGTGAAAATCCATATATTATCTAGATTTTATTTCCAGATTATATTCAGATGGTAATGAAAAAAAGTTCAAGTAAGAACTTTTCCATAAAGACCACTAGGTGCTACTCTTACTCTGCATTAAAAGAAAGCTCAAATTGTTTCTACGTAATGAACCTTGCATCCAAATTATTTTGTCTTGGAGCTCCACCATTTTTTTGATGTGTTTCTTATTAGTATTTTCAAGTTGATCGTTCTTAAGGAATGGTCAGAGGAATACTATATCTTAAAGGCTAATGCATAGTACTCAGCAAGGATTATGCCAGGCCCTTGATGGATAAAATCACTCAGATCTCTTCTAAAGTTGTCTCTGTCTGGGGTCACTGGGACAGGTTTTTCATCCATTAACTGGGAGGAGTTTGAGCCTATGAATCTTAAGAAAGCAGAGAGGATTTTCAGAGCTTTTAGCATGGTTGTCCTCAGGTTAGATCCATGCCTCTCCTGTTTAGTCAAGGCCATCTGGTTGGGTCCAAGTTCTTCATTGGGTAGCATTTCTGAGGCAGAACTGATGTGCAATTTGGATTCATGACTCTTCTTTTGCATAGAAAATGTGGCAATTGTGTCCTTCTCTGTTGGCAGAACCTGCTCATGGTTTCTCATGCTTTAGTTACCTGTCACCTGGATGCACTGTAGAAGGGACTGCTCTTGATCAGTCAGATTCTGGTAGAGAATGCAACTCTGCAAGCAGTTATCGGCATACCTCAATATGCCCATGTGACACCTATATCTGTGAGCTGGTTACCACTGGGTTTCTGGGTGCAATTCAAGGTGCTAGTTGTCATCTGTAAATTCCTACATGGCTTGGGGTCTGGCTATCTATGGAATTGCCTGCCCTATAAGATCTAACAAAATAAGCATGCAAGTTGCCTTGAGTCTTTCTGAATATAAATAAAATAAAGTAGCAAAGAGTGAAAATTTTAATGATTTATGAACTTAATTTTATTTAATTTTCTGTATCTGCTGCCATTTAATACCTTTCCTGATTTTAGCAGCCCACATTTGGTAGAGTCTATTATTACACATTTTATTCTTGGCAGAGCAGCCATTTGGCTTTGTGTTTGTATCTTTAAATGCACTTGTTTAATTATATCCAAGACAGTCTTACAACTTTGCATGAGTTGGTACTGTTTTTCAAATGTTTCTACGTAAGATGTGGAGTCTTCCTAATTGCTAAGTATTGTGGTGATTTTGTGTCCTGTTTAGTTGAAGAAGATTGGTGGTGGTGGCTTTGGGGAGATTTATGAAGCAATGGATCTTTTAACTCGGGAGAATGTAGCTCTGAAGGTTGAATCAGCTCAGCAGCCAAAGCAAGTCCTCAAGATGGAGGTAGCTGTCCTAAAAAAACTACAAGGTAGGAGATAAAAATTATTCTGGAAAGTGTATAGAAGTCTCTGGAGTTTGTTTGCACGATCTTCTGTTTTGTGCTAAAACATATGACAATGTATTTAAATTTAAATACAGCTTTGCTCTTATAAAGGGGTTGCATGTTTCTTTTCACCAACATCCATGTTGCAGGGTCACATGATTTTTATATTATTTTAACTATTGTGGCTTTTTCTGCACAGAATTACATTAATTGTAGTTTGTCAAGGAAGTTTCATATCCAAAGCTACAATAATTGGACTCCCTGAGAGAGAAGGCAACTCTTTTAGACAAGTTAAGATAAGTTGTGGAGATGCACAGTAAATATTTTCTCGTGCACTCCCAAGAGAACTACATGCTTCTGGTTTAGTCTGAAGGGACTGCTTTTGTTACTGCAGTAAACATTATAATACCAAGAACATAAATTAAGCCAGTGCCATATATTTTCTGTTCTGCAAACATGCACCTGGTCAGGAACTGATAAAAGATATTTCTTTTTCCTCCCAGATATGTGATATACAAACATTAGATTTATGGCTATGTGTTTCACTAGCCTGGGAAATAGGAACTTATTTGGGGAACAATTAGGACAAAAACTCATTCAGGCTTTCAACTGATGAAGAATTATTACCTTAAATAAACATTTGTCCTTACTCTTCAACAAAGTTCAAAAAGTTATATGCTAGTTTTACATACAGCGAGATATGGGGAAATAAATATTTATGTATGTACATAAGAGAAAGTGGCTTAGTTACTATGCCTGTCTCTCTTATGGACTGGCATGCTATTTGGAAATGCGAAAATGAGAAAAAAATAGTCAAATAACACTTTCCAACTGTGGAGAGGAGGGGATTGCTATGGAATTTATGTAATAGTCCAACCTTGCTGATTGGGGGAAACTTGGTAGCTGAGATAATGGAGAGGTGGCAGAGGTGTTCAGTTCAGAGAAAAAAGAAAAAAGGCAGCAAGAGCTAATTGTATTTACTGTTCCAGTGAAAGAGAAAATACAAATCTGCACTTTTCTTCACTAGAATTACTGTAAAAAGATACTATGCATTCAGGCTATCTTTTACAGTCTTTTTTTTATCTAAATTCAAATGAGTTGAAACTCTTGATGCTGCTTAAGCACAGTCCAGAGTATGCAATTACTCGGAAAGAACCATGAAAAAAACTTTCTAAATGGAAGTTCTGGCAGTGATTTGTGGGATTTGAATAGAGGTTGAGCCAATAAGGGGACTTATTGGTTTCATATCTATGAAACTGTTTGATTAGAATGGAAATAGTCAGTGGTTAGAATTTACAATTTAGGTAGCCATTTCCCATGAGTTCTTCCCATTTCCCATTGATCAGATCAGACACTAATTTTGAACTCTGCACAACAAGGATGTGATTCCCAGTGGCCACTGAATTAGCTTAAAATTGGCTGGATAAAAATATATTTTGGATAGAACCAAGGTGAGACTAGCAGATGCTTTTTCAGGAGATAATGATTAAGGCAAACAGCTCTCAGATAGCAAGAAAATAAGCCCATGGTTATATGTTGGAGAAGAATACGATGTAAGAACTACATGGAATGATTTAGGAAACTAAATGAATCCTGGATCTCTAAGGCTTTTAATTTTTTTTATGACCCCTTGAGCTTTGTACTTAGAAATCACAGGGATTCTGGAAGACTCTTTGAAAAACACTCTTCTAATAAGATGATGGTGACAAGCTATCTGCATTCTGATTGATTGATTATTGAGCATGGAATTTGCCTTTACACTTTGCAGGGAAAGATCATGTTTGCAGATTTATTGGCTGTGGAAGGAATGAGAAGTTTAACTATGTTGTTATGCAACTTCAGGTAAGCCTTCTTCTTTTTTTAAAAAAAAACAACTTCATAATTGTATTTACCAGGTCATTAGTGATAATCTGGAATCTTATCCAGATGGCCAGTTTTATTGGCAAGCAAAAAGTGTGGAAAGTTTCTTCTCTTCTGAAATACCATAGAGATGGAAAAGGACTAGCAAGGAGGAGTTGAAAGGGAATCACTTTCTCTTTCCCAGGGGTCACCTAAAAGTCTCAGGAGGCTCTACTACTGCTGTCATTTGCATCTGAAGTATGAGGCAAGATGACTGTCTTTACCAGGATCCAGAGGACATGGGGAGAGGAAGGATTTTTTTTTTCATTTCACACTGTGATTAGGATTGTAATGGCCAAAACCTGGCTCACCTAAAGCAACCAAATCACTTTGAAGATACAACATAATTGTATTAACATGCAAGCAATAAAACATTTACTGGGCTCCCAGCAAAGCATTGGCAGCTTGTTGGGCAGCCCTGAGCAAAGGCAGAACCAGAGCTGATGTACCCTTGGCCACTGCAAAGGCAAGCCAAAGAAAAAGTCAGACACAGTGTAAATTACAGCATGATGTTGGACTGTTTTTGATAAACCCATCTGGGCGACCTTATTATTATTTATCCCTTCTTACTAGGTCAGCATGCTAGCTATACTATCTCTGAGATATGATCAGTGAATGTAAACAGTTTGGTTTACCAGGCCACAGGTTTCTGACTGATTCTTCCTCCTGTTGCCATTCAGGGTCAATTCAGCTTGCTGTGAACGTTTCCTTGCAAGGACACTTTAAGCAGTTCACATGTAGGGGGGCATCTCATAGGTTTGGTAGTGAATGCAGCTTACATGTGTATTGGGGGGGGTACCTTTTACCACCACAGGATTAATCAGAAGCAGACTTTGTTCTCTATTCTTAGTAATAATTGAAAGCTTGAGGTGCTATTCAGGTTCTCTGAGATTTTGGAGAAGGGCGGGACATTCATTCATGTGCCATAATTGTGGAAGTAATTTGAAGTAGTAAAAGTGATACAAAGCTCTTCAATCTTCTTTGCATGTGCCACAACCAGACAAAATATTAGAAATTTGTGACTAAATAGCATTCTTCACAGTAGGAGGCTAGCTTGGGGAATACAGGTCAAGCTGTGTGGCACATGTTTTGTTCTCCTAACACTTTTCTCACTAGTCTGCATGGGAACTTACTAATTACTTGGACAAATAAATGTTACAGTGGTGCAGTGATGACACTTGCACATTAAGCAGTACAACATATCAGTACATGTGATGCTTGTTGGAGTGAATGGCCAAGCAATTATGTCACTCTGTAGGGGGAAGCCCTCTTACCTCATTAAAGGGGATGCCTGTAGGATCAAAGTGATTGTTTAGTCTCATTTAATCAGTTGGAGCAGTAGATTTCAGCACAACTATTACACATTTAGGTTCTATTAATTTTGGTGAGGTGAGACAATTTCCTGAACATGTGTATGTCTGTTTTGTAAAAATGGATTTGCAGTTCTCTTATTCTATATGACAGAGCCAATTTGCTACCACAATAAGGTGTCATGAGATAATTCTGACAAACCCCTGACTGAAACATAATTTTTAAACAAGCCCACAGATTTAAGAAACTGAAAAAGGACAAGGGAAATCTTGATTTTCCCCACTTCTTTACCAAATTTGTAAGAACTGTGTTGGTTTTTTACATCTTACATCTTGAATTCTAAAGTGTGTGATGTTTAAAACTGGAACTATAAGAGATTATACATTAATATGAAGCCAGGCTGTTTCAGGATTGATATAGCGTATTGACAATTTATTGTATGAAGTTGTCATTTGGAATTTTGAGACTATATTCCTACTGAGTTAAAAAAAAAAAAGTATAATGTAATGTGAATAGCGGAGACAGGGGGAGGCCATTCTCGGGGCGGGGGGTGATCTCGGGATTTTATACTGATTCCCCAGTGCTTAGTTATTGGACCCTCAATGGCCATTGGGCTCTCAGCTGCTGCTACTGAATGCCAGATTGTGTGGTAGATTGCAGTAGAGAGCAAGGCTATCAGGAAGGCCATTCCAGGAAGGGCAAGGAGACAAAAGACAATACAGTCTGGAGATAGAGTGTGGGAAGTATAAAAGGTTCAAGATAGCCACTCCCTAGAATCAATCTCCCAGGGTATATTCACTAGTTGCAGTAGTATAGATTTAGTCTGGCAAGATTCTGTCTATGTGGTGTAATCAATACAAGAACTGAATTTGGATGAACTGTTTCCTCACTGTTCTTGGATTGGGCCTGACAGATTGGCTTTTAATAGGCCTCTCTTAATCAGGATTTAATGATGGATGAGGAGGCAACCCTAGCATTGTACTACCAAGATTTGGCTGGGTTTGGAGGAGGGCCCACCTAGATTTGTAGCACTTGATGCTTTGCATAGGTTCTTTCTCAGTGTTTGGGGCTGTGGGGAAGGCTTTGGCTTAACCTTAGCAAGACTGAGTGGCTATGTGTTTTAAGTTTCTCTGGATCTAGGGACTTTCCATTTTAGTTCTGGGTGGGGTAGCACTCTCCTTGACACAACTGGGATGCAGTTTGGGGATCCTGTTGGATTCTCAGCTCTTGCTTGAAGAGCCATGCCAGGAGGGCCTTTGCACAAATCCATTTTATGTGCCAGTTGCACCCATTTCTGTATCAGAAGGCCCTGCTCATGTTCACTTATGGCCTGGTTATCTCTTGTTAGGACTATTGCAACACTCTGCACATGGGGCTGCTCTTGAAGACTAGACACTCTAGCTGCTCCAGAATACTTTAACACCACTGCTTTGCTTGCTGCATTGATTTCCAGTAGTTATTTGTGGGATTGCCTGTCTCCAATTGTTTTTGTCCTTTTTTTTTTTTTTTTTTTGGTGTCCTCATGTCAGTGTTGACTCCTGGTGACTGCCTGGACTAGTCCCTGCAGTTTTCTTGGCAAGATTTCAGAAGTGGTTTGCCATTGCCTTCTTCCTAGGGCTGCGAGAGAGTGACTGGCCCCATGTCACCCAGCTCGCTTTGTACCTAAGGCGGGACTAGAACTCACAGTCTCCTGGTTTCTAGCCTGCTGTCTTACCAAACAAGATCCAATATGGTGGGTGCTCTGGGTCCCTTCTATGAGATAGCTATCTGATGGGGCCCAGGAAGCATGCCTTTTCTGTCACAGTGCTTGCCCTGTGGAAAAGCATACCCCTAAGGTTCAGATGGCCCTGACCCTATTGGCCTGCAGTAAGACCATGAAAACCTGGCTCTTCTCCTAGGCATTGGGCCAGGGTTTTAGATGAGCCCATTTTGTAATGGTTTAGGAGAATGGTTGTGGTTACCTTGTGGTTACCTATATTACGTGTTTATTGTTGCTTTTATTTTGGTTATTTTTTGTTTATCTGTTTTAACCTCATATTAGCCACCCAAAGTTGCAAGTTGTATGGCTATATAAATTGATAAATAAACAAACAAACAGTAAAATATTGCTCAGTGTGTTGTTTAATTATTAATTAGTACCACACTTCTAGAGGCAGATGACTTGTTTTATGTCTTGTCCTTAGAGTCTTATGGAAGGCAAGGCAAAGGGGTTGTGAATAGTCAACTAACTTGTATGGGCACGGGGGATTTTTGTGAAAGTTGGTTTTCATGTTGCTGAGAAGGTTAGTAGCATCTCAAAAATAATCTATAAAGGCAGGCTGGTCCACTTTCTCAAGAGACCTCCTTCCTCTTAGCATTGAAAGAGTGCAAAAAAAGAACGAAAATCTAACCTTTCATTTGAGAATTGTTTTTATGTTAACATAAATGATTTTTTTGTGATTTATTCATGGTAAATACTTTTATGCTCTCTTTCAGGACCAAAACAGTTTTCTTACTGTGCTTCATAATACAAGATAAATATTCAAATTTTAACATTCAGTGCAACATTCATAAGATTCAATATTTCCATCCAAACTTTGCATATATCAGCAAAGAGATGTTCAGAGTAGAGACAAACTATGGCATGTGCACCATGACACTAAAGAGGCAATTTGTGTATTTGTGTCAGATATCATGACACAGTATTTGGGCCTTCTGTGCAAAAATATTTTTCTGTTATTTTGATGTCATTGCAGCTTGTTATGGAGGTTGCTGATCATCAATTTCATTCATATATATATAGATACAGAGTATCTTACTTCATTGCAGTGGGAAACCTCTGACCAGTAGTAAAGAATATGTATATTGAATGTAAATGTTTCTATAAAATTATTTTTAAAAATTGTAAATATTTTTATTAGTTTGAACTATGAGATGTTACAAAATTAGGAAGATGTTACTACAAATAACAGTTTATTTCAGTTTATTTCATCCTTTCCCAAATTAGTGCCCTCTATATGGGTTGGAGTATAAAACTTGTAATTCCCAAACATACTGTCTAGGCATTAACATATTTAAAGGAATTCATGTTGGGAAAGGCTGCTATAAATGTCTAAATCTTTAAAAATCCTAATGTTGGGACATGCCATCCTCATGTCCCATAGATATGAAGAGTCATTTGTATCTTTCCGACCACAAACAATCTTGACTACTCTAATATCATTGCTTCTTTTATTTTTTCACAATAATGTCACAGTTCCTTCCATTTCTCCTGCCTCACAATAGAATAATAGAGTTGGAAATGACCATACAGGTCATCTGGTTCATCCCTGTGCTCAGTGGAGGATCCACTACAGCTTCTGTGACAGATGACTATCCAGCCTCTGCTGAAGATCTCTAGTGAGGGAGAACATACCATTTTGGGTTCCACTAGCTGACAGCTTGTACAGTCAGGAAGTTCTCCTGACATCTAGGCTGAACCTCCTTTCTTGTAATTTTAATCCATTGGTTCCGTTCCTGCTATCTAGGGCAACAGAGGGGGAAAAAAGTCCCTCCAAATTTCAATGTTACTGTTTGTATCTTCAAAACTGCTGGATATGCAGCTGCCACCTGACTCTTCAGTGTGCTTTTTTTTATTTTGCATTAGATAGAGTGAAAAGGTCTTAAACTATTTTTTAAATTAACTGTTGAGAATTGCAATTGGCAGCTTTTGGATGGACAGCTCTTAGTACTTTGAGTCAAAAGACATAGTCCAGTTGTTCTTCCTTAACAGATTTTTACAAATGGAGGCCAACACTGATTGGACAGAACATCCAGCTGTACCTTCAGATGATCAGTTGTCAAAATGAACCCAGAAGAATCTGTTTGACTTAAATATAATTGGTCCAAGAAGAACATAGATTTTTTTCCCCTTCTGGTGGATTAAATAATATCTGCTGATAAAATCTGATACAGAAATCTGATATCCACTTATTTCAGGGCCGGAATCTTGCAGACCTCAGAAGAAGCCAGCCTCGAGGAACTTTTACACTGAGCACAACTCTTCGATTAGGCAAGCAGATCTTAGAATCCATAGAAGCCATTCACTCAGTGGGATTCTTGCATCGAGACATCAAGCCTGTAAGTAGATTCTGATGGCTGACCTCCCCTACATAGGTTGCTTTTCCCAGTGTTGATATTTACTGAAATGTTTACTAAGAAGTAAGTAAAATCTTCCTTGTAGTTGGAAAACACACCTCAGCGGTATTGCATGAATGTTAGAGAGAGAGGTGCATTCATGAAATGCACATAGAAGCATGACTTTATGTTTTGTGATAGGTCAGGCCTCAGTTACATCACAGGCCTGCGTACTTAGAAAGTAATATCTATACTACAAACCTGATTGGGGACTCCTGTGAAATTGACTAGGGCTTTTAAAGAGGATTCCCTCTCTGATTCCCTCCAGCAGAGGGAATTCTAATTCAAATAAGATTTTCAGAATTATTCATAGTATTTAAATTTTGAGAAAACTGAAACAGTATTTATTTATTTGATTTTTATACATCTCCAAGCAGTGTACATAATGCTGCCACCTCCTATTTTCCCCACAACAACCACCCTGTGAGGTAGACTGGGCTGAGAGAGAGTAACATTGGGTTTCATGCCTAAGTGAGGACTAGAACTCACAGTCTTCTAGTTTCTAGGTTAGCACATTAACCACTACACCAAACTGGCTCTATTTATACGTATAACACCTTTTCCAGGTAATCTCTTAAACCCCTAAGTTTGTTTGTGTGTTTATTTATTTAGTCAGTAGTTGGACTGATATCCTTCCTTTCCTCCAGGCACTGTATAAAACTCCAGGGACTTTTGGGGCTGAAGGCTTATCTGTACCAAGTCTGGTTTTCAAGAGTGCATTTGCCAGTGATTGCATGCCCAAATGTATACATCCACATTCTCATGGGCATTCAAGTCTCCTCTTCCTCCCTTATGTAGACACGTTTGCATACATCTCCACACAACCTTGTACTTGCATACTCATGCATAACATTCACACATAAACCTTTTTTCAGAGGAAAAAGGAACTCTTCCCCTCTTAGCAAAGGATGGCAAAATATCAGTGTTTTCCTGTCCTTTCTTTGGGTCAGAAAATAACACCAGCAGCAGATTTAGGAGAGAAAGGAATATGGCCTATTGGCTTGCTTATTCCACCTTGTCAGTGTTGCTTCTTTGTCTGCTGTGCCATCTTCATTGCTCTTATCTCCTTTCTTTTTGCTCTACTACAGCTTACCTCATATTTGAAAATGGCACATTTGGTAGGATAACTAATACTCTAGGAGTTAGAAATAAAATAAAAGCTGATATTGATAGGTTAGAGAAATGGGTTTAGAATGATATGATGAAATTCAACAGAGACAGATGCAAAGTTATGGGTGTAGGAAACACAAATCAAATGTAAAGGTATAGGATACCTGAATTGGCAAAAAGAGTTATGGAAAAAATCTTGGAGTAATAGTTGATTACAAGCTGAGTATGAATTAGCAATGTGATGCAGCTGCAAAAAAGTATGATTTCAGGCTGCATCAGTAATAGGATGTTTTCTAAATAATTAAATCAGTTTATTCTGCTTTGCTCAGACCCCACTTCAAATATTATATCCAGTTTGGATATCAGATTTTAAAAAGGATTCAGAGAAATTGGAACAAATTCAGAGAAGGGCAACAAGTTCTACTTTCAGGTGGCTAGAAACAAAGTTGTTTGAAGACAGATTGAACTGTGCTTGGTATGTTTAGCCTTTCATGAAGCTACTGAAGTAAATACAGGAGTTCTTTTTAATTACAGGGGTAAAAGCAAAATGACTGATAATGGGAAATATGATAAAAATAGTAACTGGAACAGATTTTGGATAGTGGCTTCATTACATGTGAAGGGGTATTGATATATTAAACTCTTCTTATTGTGTTGCTCCTGTTTAGTCTAACTTTGCCATGGGACGCCTGCCTTCAACCTACAGGAAATGTTATATGTTAGACTTTGGTCTTGCCCGGCAGTATACCAATACTAACGGTGAAGTCCGACCTGTAAGTGATTTCTTTTCTATTTATTTTGTCATTGTAATAGATGAAAAAAACCTATTATATTTTTATATTTATTTATTATTTCAATTTATATATTGCCTGTCTGCCCACAGGATCCTATTATATTATTCATGTTTGCAGTGCTATCACTTTAATATATCTATTGGTTGAGATGGAAACTGAATATGTTAGATTCTTCTAATTGGCAAAGAGACATTACATATGACTTCAGAATAAAATATTTCTTTGCATATGCTATGCTTGTTTATCAGTTACTTAAATCAGAACTGAAAGAAGAGTGTAAATAGGTCATCCCCTTATCCCATTAACTTAACCTTTATAGAAGACGGTTTTTGTTAAAAAAAAAAAAAAACTGCTCGCACTGAATTCAGAAGAAGCAAATTTGCACCTAGTAATGTTGTGAGTGGTAGTGGCATATATAACTGATCTTTCTTTTTCTCCTGCTGCTGCTCCTAAAAATCTCCAGAGGGTTAGATGAACCTGCTGAATAGGTTCTACTGGTGTAAGATTCTTCTGTTTGATTTCAGTTTATTAAGTGATTTATTATAATTCTTCTGTGCCACCCTACAGTATTCCAGTATGGTTTGCAGCATAAGAACGATAAACAGATATAAAATAGTTAGAACAAGTAGGTGCCCAATCCCAGTGGTGACAATTACAACTCAAAGGTTCTTTGGAACAGGATTGTTTTAATAGCCTTCCTAAATGCCATATATCTGGGCACTAACTGAACGTCTTAGGGAAGCCTGTTCCAAAGTATCGGGGTTGCAGTGGAGAAACAGTGACTTGGGAGCCCCCAGTCCCTCAAAAAGGAGGGGAACTTTAAGCACCCCCTCATGACATGAGCTGGTTCTATCTGAAGGAAACATTCTTGAAAATACCTAGGAAATGGGTGATGAACAATAAAACCAGCACTTTGAATTGTACTTGGAACCTATTGGATGCTAATGCAGCAGGTACAAAACTGGTGTTATATTGATTTAATTATAAAATTTATTGCCAGATACTTGGTGGGTGACAGTAATTAAACATTAAAGCACCTACAGTACAGTTAACAGTCATTAAAAGTATAAAACCAAAAAAATCAATTAATAACTAATTGGGCATCCTAATGCTTATCATAGGCCCCTCTGAACAATTTGATTTTCAAAAATATGTAGATTAGAAAACCAAAATAGTGAAGGCAGTTTTAATATCTAGGGGGAGGGTATTCCACTGAGTTGTGACTAGTCCTGAAAAGCAGCACCTATAAGCCTCTGCCTCCCATATATCATGGAAATGGGGGATCATCAACATTTTTTTCTGTGAGAGACAAGTCAGGTATAACAAGTCTAGCTGGGGAAGGAGATCCTGCAGCATTTTTCTACCAAGTCTTTTAGATTTTATAGATGGCAACCTTTGAATTGTATCTGGAAGTTAATAAGGAGCCAGTGTAGGACTCACAGTGTAGGACTTGCATGCATGCATGCATGCATGTATATATATGTGTATGTGTGTGTGTGTGTGTGTGTATATAATTAATTAATTAATTCCTGGTGGTGATCACTGATTAATAACTGAATGCTGCATTCTAGATTAATCGAAGCTTCCAAGAACAAAGGCATCTCCAAGTAGAGTGCATGGTTCAGACAAGTGGTGATGAAGGCATGAGTTCCTATTAAGATATCCTCCTGCTTTAGGAAGGCCCATAACTGGTCACCAATCAGTTGGGCAAAAAGTCTCCACCTATCCATCAGGTAGGAGCTGTGAGCCAAGAAGGACCCCCAAGTCAGGGACCTGCTCCTTCAGGGGCAGTGCTGCCCTGTCAGAGGCAACATTGGAGTACTCACAGTATCTCAATGGATAAAGTGCAACTTTCACTTGCTGGGATTCATCTTTAGCCTGTATCATCCTGTTGAGATCCTAACACTCTAGACATTGTGACAAAACACTAACAGCATCTCCTGTTTGATGGGGGGTGGCAATGTAGCATTGGGTATCATTATGATACCCTGAATCAGTGCTGACTGTACCCAATGGCTTCATGTAAGCTTTCAATGGGTAAATGTTTAATATTATATCTGAGTTGCAATATTTTCTATACGTATCTTGCAGGATTGAATGTAGGCATTGTAATTAATCACTGCATAAACACTGGTCCCAGTATTTGCCAAGATTTCAGTGGGGTCAAATGATACCTCTCAAGATGAGCCCAAAGAAGAGCTGAAGTTCCTTATTCCAGCCAGTGACCAAAGCTAGGATTAAAGCTTAATGATAAGCTTGAAAGTTTGAAAAGTTAAATCCATCTTTCTTACCAGGTAATTGTACTTTGTGCAATGAAAGCTCTTAGCACCAATATAGTTATTCTCTATTTCTACTTTATCTTCAAAATGTTCTTTAAGGAAAAGGCTCTGTGATACAGAGCCCAGTATCACACTATTCAGTATGTTAAAGATTAAAGTGCAGAGTAAATCTGCAATCAATACTGTTAAAGCCATTTCATCCCTCTTCTTCATTTTTGTTTTAATATTTGTAGCTTAGGTATGGCAGGTGGCTAACAATTTGGTATAGATAAAATAACCAACATTAAAACTTAAAGCTCAACTTAAAATTAGTCCAATAAATACATTAAAAATACATCCATAAGAGAAAGCACCCAAAGCTAACACCCACTTAAGCTGCAAGTCTGTTTAGATACCAGCAGCCAAAATAAAAATGTGTCTTTGGGACCATATAGCCCTGGCATGTTAGTATGGAAGAATGTAATATTTCAGAAAACTTGGTCCTGTTTATGCCTTTGAGATGCATAATTAGTACTTTGAACTATGTTCTGAAATTTAGACTGGTAGCCATTGAAGTTGTTGCATATTCCTTATAGCCAATACTGTTAGTGGTCTGGCTCTAGCATTCTGGAAATTGAATTTTTAAAATACTTTCTTAGACAACCGAACATACTATCCCAAATAAGATATAGTTGTGGCATCCAATGGGAGCAGTTGGTTACCACTGAACCCTGTGTATCTCAGTGCTGAACCCGGGAGAACAACCAAATAGCAAACATAAGTTTCCAAGGTAGATGAAATAGAAATTGAATCTAGTTCAGGTTGAATTCCTATTATTTGGCTGACCAAGACATATTTCTTATTTGGATTAAGCTTGTTTGCCTTCATTCAGTCCATTATTATCTTCTATTATGGACTTAAAATTTGAAAAGCTTTATTTAATTTAGATAGGAAGAAAACATATGAATTGGGATTCAATAGCACGTTATAGCAATGAATCCCAAAACTCCAGATGCTTTTTCCTGTCAGTTATATGTTCACACTAAGTAGTATATAGTATGAAATAGACTTGTGAAGGATACTATGGTGCCTGTGACATGGGCCAAAAACTACAGTATCAACCAGAAGTCCCTCAGCATAATCTTCTGAGGCAACTATAGCATCTCATGGAGTGACGGCTGCCAACTGATAGTACCCACCCCTTTTCTGCCTGGCTGTTTAGACTCTTTAGCTGCTCTCATTATAACAGTACTATTGGACAGCGAACATATTGTGGTATTTAAGAGAAGTCATAATGGAGATTGAACTCTACTGCAAAGAGTCGCTTTATGTTTTTAATTTTATGTGCTCAGTTTTCTTCCAAAAATACCTTTACCCACAGCTATATCATTGTTTCAGTCTACTTGTACACTTAACTAAGTCAGTTGTTACTTATGGAAGTTAGTGTTCAAGATGTCACAGCAAATTTCTTTCTAAGTAATCATTAGATGAACTGTTCATTGTCTGGACCTTTTACTAAGGATGAAGGACAGGTATTCACCTTACAGATTTGTAATGCAATCCAATGTAGCTTTTTAGAAAAGTATGTGGCTGAAAAAAAAAGCAGATGGAACTTTGCAAAAAGCAGATCTTACAATCTTTTATTGCTTACTAGTTAGCACTGATCTGCAGTGATAAATATAGTTCTTCAAATACTGTACATGAAAGGATGTCACATAGGAGAAGGTCAAGACTAGGCACATCCAAAACATTCCCTGTAAGGATTGTCCCGTGTATGGCCAGAATGCATATTTTATATAGTACAGATATGGCACACATGTGGTTAGTCAGGACAAAGCAGAGGTATTTCAGGTTGGATGACAGCTGGGATAACTGGACAGTTGCTAAGTGGAAGTAAGGACAATAAAAGCTTGGGAAGATGGATAAATGGTGGTTGAGCCAGTTGAGTGTGCCATTCTTGTATTCAAGTAAGGCAGTAGTGGCTGTTGGAAAGGAAATCACTAGGAAGATTGCATGAAGGAACAAGATAAGCTGGTTCATATGCAGTCTCTCATGGCAGGGGAAAGTTAAAAAGAACTAAGAAGCTGGCAGAAGGTTGGTTGGGATGGAAGTTGGAAAATGGGAGAGAAGAAGAGAATAATGCTAACAATAAAAAATGGACTTAGGCAGTTTAGGGCTGCTGAAAGGATTCTGGCTCAAGATCACCGAAGAGGAATCCACATAGGGACTGCTGAGCATGTAGGCTGTGGGATCTGCCTACCTTGCACACATATCCAGAGTGAGAAAAGGAACTGAAGAAAAAAACCCGAGAGGTGGTCAACTAAGTTTTAACTGGAGCACTTAACTTGGGAGAATTTAGTAGTAGCAGTATTTTTAAGGAGAAGCACGCTGTCAATTTAGGTGGAAGCATTACTCTTGTTGGCAGGGTGATGGGTAATTCCAGAATTGTAGAGCAGAAGTCATAAAGCAACTGCTACATTCCATCCTGCTTTGAAGTTAGACATAGGATAGAGAGAAAGGGGAGAACTGTATATCTATATGCATTAACTGAATTCTGCTTGTGTAGTTATCTGGGAAAGCCAGATTTTCAAAGAAAGTGATATATTTCTACCCTTGTTATGCTAATAATAAAGGAAACAGTTGATACAATTCACAAGAATGTTATATTTTGTCTGATCAGCCCTGAAACTTGACAGTGCCTTTCCAGATTTTTCTTGGGTG